TCTGGAAAATTTAAAGGAAAGAGGTTAAGTTCTTCACTACCTAACAAATTCAATCACTTTGTATATATCAGAAAGTGAAAACAAGCTATAAAGCATAAATAAATGTGGAAAAATTCTATGTTTTTCTGTAATAGACATATTCTGTGATTAAAAAAACAAAGTTAATTTGTAGCTTAATATTTTTAGCATTTAGCATTTTTAATATTCTGAATTAGTGATTAAATTTTGGTATAGATTTCTGTAATTCATAAAGTGACTGAGTTTTAACAAAGAATCAAAACCAGCCTTTCACGTAGAATGCTTTTAAGCTTTACTTCCTGTTGAATTCAGTAAGGACCTACACTTCAAAAGCAACAACAAATACAGTGCCTTAGTGCTTTCATATCAGTATGTACTACTGAAAGGGATGTTAGAAATTGCATTTGTGAAATACAGAGGCAATGCCCATTTGTTCAGTACAGGTATATGTTGCAAAATATTTATCAGTTGTTATTTTTAGTCTTTCTTGTCTTACCCTTGGAAGCGCTTGTTTGCATGGTTAGTTTGTACTTTTTCAATCTGATTAAATTCAGCACTTTTTCAGATGTGAGGCTACTCCTCTGAGTAGGACTTGTTGGATTGAGACCACAGGCTGTCATTCTTTGAAGCATCTTAGTAGCCTCAGCATGCTGTGCAGGAAGGTACCATCGCCTGTGGCAAAGCAGCATTTACTTTCATGCCATTTGTGTCACCTTGTTGCCTGCCTGTCCAAGGAAGTGAGGCTTTGAGAGAGATTTGTTTGTGTTTTTTTAAAAAAAGCCAGAATAATTTATCTGAAATGGAAAGTACTGCGATGAGATTCGTAGTATGTCTAGTTTGAGGTTGAACTGGAGGGAAAAAAACCCCTAGCAGCTCTTTGGCATTATTTTAAATATTTTTCTAAAGGAGTTAACTATTTCAAGGCAGATGGATGATGAGGTGAATGAACTTGGATCAGTCATATGAAAAGTAGTCTCACTATTTTTAAGATATGGGAGTTGAGGGAAGGAGAAATGCAAAACAGAGCTGTAGATCCCTAGCTAGTATAGGCAGGAGCCAGATCCCCCTGAGACAGCACAAAATGAACCATTTATTTCATTGAGAGCAGAGCTGAGCACTGATTATCCAAGAAATAACTATACTGCATTCCTAGTGTAGTTTTTCACAAATTATATTTCAAACGAAAACCACTGTTTCTTCGAGTTTGAGAACAAGTACACTAGCCTGCTCATTTTCTTGAATTGCTGAACAGGTCCACATTGATAAAGTCCTGGTAGTGGGCACCAGTAGTTTAGGTTGCTTTGGAAAGCTGACATGTTATGCATACTAGCTTTGATATATGGAGATCATAAGACTGTCTTCCAACGCATAAAATAATACCTGTTTTGGTTGTAGATGTTCACATTTGGGCTTAGTGATAACTATATAGTGTCTGAAATAATAAGCTTTCTGTTGCTTGATCTAGACCAGAGGACAGCCATATTTGAATGGCTTTATTGCCTGAATCCATCACTAATTACTGAAACCTTTTGTATGAGAATTGTTTAGAGAAAGCTCTCCTTAAACAAAAGACTACCGATATATAGGTAAAAGCTGGAAGGGGAGCTGCACAGCTTCTTTAAGGATCAATCTTCCCTTGCAATCACTTAGTAGCAATATTGGAAGTAGTCGTTCTAATAATAATCATAATCATAACAACAACAACACACAACTGCCAATGTTTGGAAAAAAGCACTGGAAAATGTTCCCAGTGAAAGTCTTTGGAGAAACGACGTCTCTCTCTGCATGGTCAGTACTACCAACCAGGGCACTCCATAGATTCTGAGCAAAGACCAGAGAATCTGTCTCCCCGACTTTTAAAATGCAAATCTGTAATGTAAATAAGGATTTGTTTGAGTTGTCTTAGTTCAGAAAGACTCAGGAGAGAGGCAAGTGTTGGATGTACTCTGCTTTGCTGGTCTGTACTCTGCGTGCTTTCACTTTTTGAGAGCCGGAACACACACCGAAAATGTGGTCTGGAAGCCTGATTTTGCACTTAATTCACTTTCGGAGGCTTTGGGATTGCCAGCATATGCTTGAGGACACCTGCTGCCAGTATGCTCTTTTTCTGTGGTGAATCATGTTATCTTCTGTGATATTTTTGTAACACAAAGTGATAGTTTTTACAGAAGCATTTACCATTAAGATTAGTCTAGTATTGTCTAGCAACAGCTATATATTATCGATCTTAACCCAAACAGTGTAACAGGTTCAGCACTTCATGCAGAAGTCTTAAATAATTCTTGACTGTTTTGAATTGCATTTTATTCCCCCCTCCCAAAAGGAAAAGTAAAAAAAGAAAGGGAAAACCCAGTAGTATTTAAAGTGTTTATTTTAACTAGTAAATGCAGTAGAATTTTGAAATTAGAAAATTTTGCATTCAGCAAAGTAATTTCTTAATATCAGCAGTATAATTTCTTAATAGAAAATGCATGTCTGTCAC